CATTGGCGCTAACATCGATTTTGTCATCAACAAATTAAAACATAAATGAATTGTATTCTTTTCGAATGGGTTTTGGATGTATAACTACACATCCACGTTTATTTTCTCTTTAGAAATTGCTTTATCTATATATAACATGATACATATTTATTATAAGGTTAAATCCTTACGATCCTACTGCCTGTCGATATTTTTATTTTGGCATTGCAAAAGTCATGTCTTCTTTTACTGTCCATGGCGTTGAAACACTAAATCCCTGGGATGTGTTTTAATTGATTTTAGACTCTGATGCATGTTTTTTATTGTAAATTGTTTTTGGCTTTTACCTAGCTTTCAGTAACTGCGAGTACTCTCAAATCGTACTTTCCTGTTAATTTAACCTGTTGACACGGTTTATAATGCATTTCTGTAATTCAATGTTTACTTATTTTGTGTTATATCTCGTCTCACTATTTTTAATATGTACCACATTTGATAAGTATTTAGTATGACGATAAATTTTCAATTCTGTACTCGTACTCTGAACAACAAATTTATTTATTTTGTAAAAAAATTTTTACTTCCGTACTGCTAACAACAAAATTATTATATTTTAATTTACCTGTGTACGTTGTTTTATTTAACGCCATTTTGTTCAAGGTTAGAGTTGTCTTTTTAACACTGTTCCTACATCTTTTTTATTTCTACCAGTAACGTCTATGTTATATAGGCACCTACGTTTTAATATTGTATTTATATTGTGTCATAGATCAAACTTATTTGTTCAGTGTATGTTTACTTGTTTTTGTTTAAATGTCTTTTTGATCGAGTTAATTCATTTCAATTGATATTCTATAGTGTGTCTTTTTTTGTTGTAATGTTACACTACTGTCTCAGGTTAGAGTGATGGTTGGCGCCTGTTAAGACGTTTAAAACCGCTGCGATTTTATACACCTGTCCTATCAAGAGCCTGTTGTTCAGTGGTTGTCGTTTGTTGGCGTGATTCATAGGTATTTTCGTTTCTCGTTTTTTATATTGATTAGACCGATGGTTTTCCTGTTTGAATTGTTTTACACTAGTCACTTTGGGGTCCTTTATAGCTTGCTGTTCGGTGTGAGTCAAGACTCCGTGTTGAAGACCGTACTTTGACCTATAATTGTTAACTTTTCATACATTGTGACTTGGATGGTGAGTTGTCTCATTGGCACTCATAGCACATCTTCTTATTTATATATATTGTATATTTTTTGTATCTTTTATCAATATGCAAACCATATAATTCGATTGTTACCGTTTAAATTATCAAAACAACAGAAAGCCTGTTCTGTCACATAATACGCAGTTGTTTTATATATAAATTCAAGGATATCAGATTGCAATAAAGATATTCAGCTGTTTACCAACAAATGTGCACACGTCATCAGCAAATGTTTTTCCTCTACCATATATTCTAAATTGTCATAACACGAACTAACAAGTGCATCATAAAATTGTCCTTCGAAGGTAGGATTTTGACCACAACCACCTATATCATTAATTTATAATTGAAAACAAAAACTATACCATGCCAAAAAGAAAAAAACCACAAAAAGATAACCTCAACAGTACACAAACACAACACAGAAAACTAAAGATTGAGCAATACGGACACAATAAAAAAACAGGGATAATCTCAGATGCTCCGGCAGGGTAAGCAGATTATGCTCTACATGTGGCACCCTTCGTGTTATTCAGGTAAGTAGAAACCGGTGATAAGTCTAATGTGGTAGGTTTCATTCGAGGAAAGTGTATAACAAAAGTACCGAACTGTTGTTGATAGCTACGTTATATTGACAAAATTGGGTGAGTAGCCCAAACAGACATGATAGGTTAATGTAACAATAATTGGGATCCAGCAGCTAAAACTGTGTAAACATACATCCAAAACATCACAACTGACTGAAATAATAAACAAATTTACAAATATATTTAACAAAGTTGCCAACAAAAAGGTGTTTTAGATGATAGTAAATTGAACAAAGACGCCAACTTAATTGTTCTGTCGTTGATAGTAAATTGTCAAAGACACCGATAAAAAAGTTGTTGTAGTTGATATTACATATCGTATATAGTATACACTTTCTCGATAAAGTACAAACTAAGTAAGATATACATACAAAGGTAAACAAAATGGAAACACTGTAAAAACCCTCTGGTGTCCCATGAGGACGGAATTGTGGTTATGACAATTGGAACATACCCGTCGTCATCTGTGAAACAGATATTCCCAAATGGTCAACTAACTCCTTATAGCGTCCGTAAAATTTTTGAAAGGATGATTTCAACTTCACCACTTAATTCCTGATTTAATAGCTTTCATGTACGCAGCAACTCTCTAGTGAGGAAATCATGATACGAAATGCAAGCTATGGGATATTGTATCAACTGCAAATTGTATGCATCACATTCAGCCTAGCCGGACGTTTGCTATACAGAAATGGAATATTCACAGTTTTGAAGTTGAAATCATCTTTTTGTCGTAAGTTTTGTTCTCAGCCGACCCTCATTGCCCATTTCTTGATGTAAGTCAAGATACGAGGCAGACCTACAATAATGTAAATGTATCTGTTGTAATCTTTATTTTAAGTTTGATGGGATAGACAGGTTTAATATAGTCACCAAACTTTGAATTATTTAGTGAGACGAAAAAGTCCGCAAGAAGAGGAGCACATTTGGTTCGCATGTGAATGCCAAAGGTTGTTGAAAAAACAACGTCCAAACGTTGCAAATATGTTGTCAATCAAGAAATCAAACATCTTCATAATGTCAGTTTCAGAGATTTTTGTTTCAATCAAAGTGATTTTTTACAAAAACAATGTATTCCTCCCTACGACAAGGTACTTGTATCTATGTTGGCCATTATTTTAAATGAAACAAAGGAGCAGTTCTTTCAATTTATCTTTACGTTTGCAATAGATAATACTTGTGAAAAAATATTTTGATATTACTCAAGAGGAAAGAGACTTAGATTGTATGTATTATAACAGATTGTTTAAAGTTTTAAGTTTCCGCATCTGATTCACGCCGCATCTAGAGCATTTAGTTTCACAATGACTTTGAAGATCGGCTTTGATTGCTGATTGATATTAATAACTAAGAAAGAGGATTTGTGGAGCACTTGAAAGGCCAAGTAATATAAAGTTGTTTGTAACTACACTTATGTAATTTAGGAGTTCAATACAGTGAAGGAAGACCCTGTTCTTTATCTTTGTTTAGAAATCCAATGAAACAGAACAGACCTATGATTATTCAGGATTTCACCCTTGGTATCGTTGGGGTATATGTTGAGTTTACACGTGAATTGCCAATACCTAATTCCTTTATCAAGCAGTTTATTGTTATGTGATTTGCACATTAAAACGATGTTGTTTGGGGCTTTATCTGCGAAGACAGCAACATATTTGTCATGGAGGTAGGATGGGTGCGTAACAACAGTTTGGTCTTTAAATATCGTTGCAACACGTGTATTTATAGACTCGTTCAGTTTTTTATTTATAATTTGTAGCTAAGCATTTTTCACCAGTGCTAGGTTTTCGGTTAGTAGGCTGACGATTAGTTAAATATAGGTGTTACATTGATGAAGAAACAAGGTTGCCAGAAACAAATTTTGTGACAAAATATAAGATACAAGGAAGCATGCAAAACAAATTTGCAAATTCATGTTAAAATGTCAATTTCTATATAGCTGTTGCTATGAAACTCAACGATTGCTAGGTGTATATTTCGCACACACTTTAGGGTATTAAGAATTATAATTGCTATAATGAGAGTATCAAACATGAGAAAAGAAGTTTTTTTGGGGGTTCGTGTTGCTCAGTCTGTAGTTTTCTATGATGTGTTTCTGTACTTTTGTTTGTCTGTTGGTCTTTTTCTTTTTTAGCCATGGCGTTGTCAGTTTATGTTCGACTTATGAACTTGGATGTCCCTCTGGTATCTTTCGCCTCTCTTATATAGACCAACGATGTGTTATAGAATACTAGAATTTTTGTTTAATTTATTTTTCCATAATTACACCTCTTTTAGTTGCAAAGTAATGCGATTTTACAAAATTAAGACAAAACTAGTATGTATCGAGAAACCAAACAATATTAATTTTGAGTTTATATAACGACAGTTTGTTTAATTAGTAACAGTTTAGGTGTAAGCATCAAACCTTTATCAATCCGTTGTAGTAAACAGTCTTATCAATGGATTTGATTTATCAATGCTTATTAAATTGTACACCGATCAACACATGTGAAGCAGGATGTGTTGATCATTCCAGAACTTGTGTGACCATCTCCGGTTTTTGGGGGTTTGTGTTGCACAATCTTTAGTCTAGTTTTTTATGTAGTGTTTTTACACTTTTTTTTGTCTCGTGTTATGTTTTGTTGGTTTTTTGTAATGGTTTTGTTTGTCTTTCATGAATTTCATGTTAGTATGTTCTGCTTCTTTAAAATAAAACATGTTATTTTGTTTTATAATTAAACAGACTAAAGTAGCAGGTTTGTTTCGAAATCCTTGAATAAACAACTTGAGTGAAGCATAAAATGAAATTTGGGATCTTTCTATACATGTTATAGATGACGAAGACTTCAAAACGTCAAGAAAGGGAAGGAAAGTAATATACATGTGTTTCTATTGCGTCATACCTGACAGCTCATTTTATTCATAAAAATATAAGAATAACTTTTTATATTATAATAAAAAGCATCAATCTCCTAAAACCTTGAAGTCCGCACTAATAAGTTCCATTCCGTAAAAATATCTGCAGTATCTTCACCTTATGCGTATCGCGGAAATACTTGACTTCTATTCGTTGCTATGAATTTAAGCATTTCAATGAAAGTGTATGCCCAATTTGGTAAACTGTGATATTATTCATTTGTATTACCCTATCAGGTTTTGTGTGATCAGCAGGTTTCGTAGTAGTAGTTTATCTTGGTCATGTTATGGTAGGTTTCGTAGAAGTAGTTTATCTGGTTTCTTGTTCATAGTGATACCTTCTGCAAACTCTTACTCTTCCTCAAAAATAGTTTCTAATTCATGTGGAAACTGATCTACAAAACAGAAAAAAACAAATATAATTAAAAAAAGCTTGATTGACCAACAGAATGTATTTTGGTGCAGATTCTTTTACATACGTATTTGTAAAAGAATGATAATCTTTAGATCTTTAAAAGTTGTGGTTTTCTAGTTCGTAAACATTTTGTGATAAATTGCATTTAGAAAGTTCTAATTTCATTCAATAATCGATGTCGTCTGTAGATAGGTTCGGGGTATAGTGTTTATTTTGATTAAAGTTACGATTGATTTCTTTTGCTGACTCTCTATTGACTTCAAACAGATATCAATTTCACACCAAATATTTTGTCTGCATTTAATAAGTATCTTGGTGTTTTGTTTTAGTATTTGAAAAATTTGAAACTGCGATGGTTCTTCAAATGTATCTTATGAATTTCAATTGGTTTTTTTTCTTGTTTTAATACAAAAAAGTATATTCTGCATTTTGCATTTTTCATGATGAAGATAAAAACGAAAATTTTCTCTATCTTCACGTTAGAAAATGAACACAAAATACAATTAACGAATTAAACTACTAGTTTTGGCCTCTCCTGTCCAAACAATGTATTGAAACCATGCAAAATATTTTACGGCTAACAGTAATATTTACCTCTTGTTATTTTTTTCTTCTTAATTTCACAGGTTTCGAGCATTTCGACAATAGATTCGTGTCCATTTTCTTCTGCATACAAAACAGCTGTCCAACCGTGTATATCATTTCGTTTAACGTCACATCCTAAGTCTATCAAAAACTGTACGAACTCTTTCCTTCCTATTTCTGTTGCAGGTAGATGACGACTTCGACATGTCTCGATCAAAGGCGTTGCTCCAACATAATTTATGCAGTTAATTTCTACCCCTGAGGACATTATTTTCTTTGCAGCTTTGAATTTATTTTGTTGTATAGCATGAAATACGTTGATTATTTTGTCGTATGATTGTTCACTGCTGACTGATGATGCTGATCCCATGGTACAAAGTCTTGTTCTGCAGTTTAAACAACTGTTTAGAATATTGTAGTTTAATATTGTCCTTGTGTATCTGACAGTTAAAGCTTATATTGTTTCTTTGTCGAGTAGACAGCCTTTTATACGATTTAATTTCCTCACACCTACGTTTTAACAGTGTGATTGTTTGTTGAATCGACGATTTGAGCGCAAAACGTCATCCAACAAAAATTGCAAATGTCAAACCTTATAACAAAATAGCAAGAACCAAGTCCTCAGATTTTATTTGCAATTATCATTTAATTCCTTGACAAAACAAAAAAGAGGACTGCTTTATGAAATATAAATTAGTGTAAATAAGAATATCACACTTCTCTGAGGTTGAAAAATCTGAATTTCAAAAACAATAATGTATCAAACAATTTCAAAATACACATCATAACAGAGCGTTATTCTTTTCAACGGGATTAGGATAGGAACCCTTTGTTATAATTATTTGTCTGTTAAGACTTCAGTATATTTAATCTATTACATACAACAAAAATAACATCTTGTAATCCAACATTTTTATTCGTAAAATGACTTTTTTTGGTAATTTTTTATTTTATCTTAAAGAACCCCAAGCACTGAGATACATATATATAGTCTTAATCTATAATATAAGTGTATATGTTGAATTTTTCTATAGCAGTCTAAAGCTACAATGAACATTATCCTACGTTTATACATATATGGTAATTATCTACTTGAACAAACCCATCTTTTGTTACCCTGGTATAAAATACACGAATTCCTATAAAGGTTAATGATGGCATTGGCCTACTCCTCTTACCACATGTATCTCTGTCAATAATATGACATCGAACATGGAAAGCACCAGTTGAAGCCACCAGTGTTCAATAACATGTAAGAGTTAGACAGGACATGTTGGATAGAAGTACAAAGTAAATAACAACCATACTCAAGGGAAGACAATCACAATGCAATAAAACAAAAACACATATATATATATACATAACTATCAATTTCCTAACAATGTAATTTTAACACACTATTGAGTATGTAAATATTAGAATGTTTAAAATATTTACAACGCGATAAAAAAATAAACGCAATATATCGCTAGTCAAACTAGCTTCATCAAGCGTGCATCTATCCAGGTGAAATCAGATGTAGATAAGAAACTTTTGCAGCTCACTGTACATAAATTTAGCTGTCTTGTAAAGAATTCAAAATTTCGATGAAGTGCAAAATTATTTACAAAATTGGTGGTTGAAGTTTGCAACGTCCAATTTCATTTGTGTAATTGAATTAATCTGTGTACTGATTAATCCACACTCAAATAGATTTGTATGTTATGTGTTGCTATTTATACGCACTTATATACGTAACTATACATATAGGTTATCATATTTGCCTCCTTCTATGGTCTTACAAAGTATTCTTATATTTGCTGTTCTTGCCTTTTGTTTGTTATGTATTTGTTATGTTTTACCCATGTCTTAACTTCGGGCAGTTGGTCCGATTACATAGTTATCTTCCTTTGATTTTCGTTGTCTACAAATATAGTCCCTATTGTGGACAGTATATTACTTGCTAAATTTTGTTCATATACTTTCTTAATTTATTTCTTTATATTTCATGCAGGAAATATAAAGTAGGCGTATGACATTTTATGTTTTTAAATACATTTGGGGGATGTACTTTAAGGTAAAGTAGTGATTCGGCTTAGTTTAATAAGGTCAAAATTTACTGTCTGTACCTGTCATACTCAATTATAGATCTACTTAACATGAAATTGTCCATAGTTGTAGTCAGAACTATTAAAATGTGTTTGAGCTAGAGCAGGAGCGATTTTTTTGTATTTGAATTTATTGTCTTAAAGAAATACACAACGAAATAACTCTGTTCTCGGGCCAGTTGATAACAGCTTTTATTAGAATTCTTCGACTGCACTACTTTTTCATGTCGGGGCCTTTTATAACCGACCATACGGTGTGTGTTTTTCTGATTGCCGTACGGTTGCCTATAATTGCTTACATCCACTTCATTTGAACTTTGGTGGATAGTTGTCTCTTTGGCAATCATACCAATTATCCTTATTTTTATATATAACAAGATCAAAGCAATGTAATGATCCACACAAACCACTTTCCAAAAGTGATGTGCATCAACATCTTATTAATTCTACATAGATTATTAAAATGTCTTAAATGAGTAGAAAATGATAGATCTCCCCTCACATATTAACTAAATCTTTAATAAATTTCCATTTACTCTCAAATTTCTCTCTTGGTTTTAGTGATCTGTAAAAGGAGGTAGATTTTTTTTCTATTTGGTAGGTACTTTTAATCATATTTAACGGACCTGTATATTTAACCAGAACAGTGAAATTTTTTAAGGATTTTTTTTTTTTGCATTTAATAATAGAGTCAAATTACATTTCTGTTCATTTATGTTGAAAAAGTGCTGAAATTTGTATCCATAAATTTCTAAGTCGAGTAGATTCCCAGGAAAGATGATATTTTCCGTGATTTCATTTCAGAATTTACATAAATTGGTTTCTTTTAATAAACATGTATGCAATCGTACATTTGTAGCAAGAATTCTATGCAAAAGCTTAAACTGGAACATACTAAATTTGTTGTTTTCAATACAACAAAAGGGTAAACTATAAATGAAATCCCAATTTTCTATATAACTCCTCCGTTCTTTACACATGTTTTCTTCTTGCTTTGTAAGACGTTCTGAATACCTTGGCAAGACTTTTATGATAAAAGAATTGATATGATTTTTTATTGTTTTTAATGAATTAAAATTTTGATTTGATATGCATGTTATTTTCTCTGAAGCAGTGATTAGAACTTTCCAATCTTTCGGTATCATCTGAAGAAAAGAATGTATTCCAGGAAATTACTATTAAGGTTATATTTTCTGCGGAATACCTGCAAGGTAAAACAAATCACTGCTCTCATCAAGTAAATCACCTATAAAGAAAAATCATGATTCACACCAACTTTGGTAGAAAAGAGTTTCATTATTTATCGTCAAGTTATTGTTTAGCTTAGTGGATTGTATTATCATCCCTTCAGCAGGGTCATTAGTGACAGTGTTAAGGACAATCCAGTTCAGTATAATTTCTTTCCAAAAGCTAATAAATCTTTTGGATACCATTACGGGTCATCAACTACATTTTGTCTGCTCCAAATTTGTTGTACTGATCTATTAGCAGTGTTTTTCATGGGGATATAAGGGGTCTTAAAGTGTATTTATCCATGTCATCATTAATGAGAAACACAAAGACTATATCTGGCATTTTCAACACCCTCCTTTTCATACAACCCTATCATAACTTTTCTTTTAAATTTATCTGGAATTCATAACTACAGAAAACTAAAGAAAATATTTTGAATTTATTTTATCTTATCCACAGGTGGGTTTGGCAGCACTGTCAATGACTGAATTCGAATAGGTAGAGCTATTGATTTAATAACAGTATTTTTTTTTCTTCAACACTAACAATCGTTTTATTTTCACTGAAAGTTTAAATTTTCCTGAGATATTGCAATTCAAGTTTCTTGTAGTTGTTAGTTTATACCTCGAGTGAATCTTTGAACCAATCCATATGGCTTCAGTTTAATCAAAGTCAGCCATTAGTCCAACACACTCGGCTAGCTTTTCTAAAGTATATAATAATTTTCTGCCGATTGCTCATTCTCATCTAATAATTAACTTGAGACTAATTTATTTTCATGCCATTTATCTCTTGGTTGTTTTTGAGTGCAGCTCTCATAAGTTTTAAAGATAATATAAAGAAATTAGGGGATAATGGATCTCCTTGTCTAACACCAAGATCAATATTGAAAAATGAAGATCAGTGTCTTTTGTAGAACAGTGTCTTTTGTTTATAATACAGCTCTGAGATTCTGAATATAAGGTCCTGACCCATTTGTACAAAAATTGGTCCAAAACTCAAAAAGATAAAGCCAAGTCAATAAATTACCATTCAAAAGTATCAAATGATTTGATTTCTCAAAGTCTAATAAAAGTAAAAGACCTAGACGATTATCTTCTTCTGCCCTTTCCATAATATCAAAACTAAGTGTTCTAGAAAAACAAAGGATATGGGGTATCCATCCATGAAACAAAATCAATACATGCACAGCAAAAAAAAAAACACAATAAGCAAAGGAACATCGCTTGTATTGCTGCTCTTCATCTCAGGGTCATAGTGAAGCCTTCAACACGGAGCAAAAAAAAAAAAACCTGATTTTAAGTTTAAGACGGCCCCTAGCACCGGCTTGAGCGGAATTCTTTGCAAAAATAAAACTGGATAGACTTTCTAAGATGTAACACCACCTAATAGGGCCCGGTCAAAAAAAAAAGAACATATTGGAAAGTAGTACATATTTAAAGCAAAATAGTTCCTACGCATAGGTGTAAATCTAAAACTATGTAGCATATATTTTAGTAATAAAGGTATCAGATGAAAAGTGAAGGACTGGTGATCCTCGAAGAACACATAATTTTCTGATAATTTTGAATAATAAAAAAATGTATTAATGAATTTTAGAATTGAGGGCATATATTGCCTGTGTCTCAGATATGAAGTGCCTGGTTTGGTGTATCCAAAATTCCGGTAACCAGTGCAGTACGGCCTGATGTTCAAATACAGGTATATTGATCCCGTTTCCATAAAATGTTTTGAAGAGAAAAAATTAACGTGGATAGGAATGAGGACCAAGAATAGGTGGTGTGCGTCTTATTAAAATTTTTGTACACAAACTGACCTAAAATTGAGAGAATGATGTGGCACACATAAGAGAACGTATCTCAAGAATAAATACACCATAACTTTACAA